TGCCTCTCCTTGCTCATTTGTTTTTATGCCGAAGTACTGCCATATAGCACTTCGCGCCCCTCGTTTGTCCACAAGTTGCGGGGTGGTGACTGTTACAGCAGCCATTCTCCTCTCCGTGCTCCTCTCTCTCTCTCTCTCTCTCTCTCTCCCTCTCCAACGTCTCTGCTCTCTCCAAGCTTTCCTTCTGCTCCGTTTGTTGCTCCAGTCCACGCTGCTCAGTGAGCAGAGGACGAGGAAGCTGTTTCCTGCTCTGTTTTCCTCTGTTGCGGGTGGGCGCTGCCGGCGGCGCTGCAAGTACCGGTCCCATCCAAATGCAGTATAGTACCATTTTAAATGCCTCGGTACCGCGGTACCATACTAGTACCGGTATATCGTGCAACACTAGAATGTTCACTTGCTGCCTAATGTACCCCACACACTGACAGGAGCCACTGTAACAGATAGTCAGTGTTATTCACGTCACCTCAGTGGTCATAATGTTATGGCTGATCGGTGTATAACTTGCTTTTTTGTCTTCATCTGTAGTTGTTTTGGAGGTAGGAACTGAAGTTGCAGTGTGTTTCTAGTAGGACAGATTTTACCTGTGCACGGTCTTCCCTCCTGCTCTCACATGTGAGCAGCAGCAGAACAGCATGGGTGCGGTCTGGAGCACAGTATTAAAGAAAGTCCTCTGGAGTGTGATTTTTACTGTCAGAAAAATGTAAGAAAACCTTTTTCTATCTGTAGAAAATAAGGCTGAAAGATCATTTTGGGTTTTTGTAAAGTTTGATCATGAAACACTTGAAAATGTCTTGCATCCTTTCTCGCCCTATTTTTTTTGGATTTATTTGTTTGACCTTTTTTAAAACACCGTTTTTATTTGTTTGAAGCATCTTCATGCCAGAGGATGGAAGGATGACCTGTTTAGTGACCCATGCTACCAGCAGTTTGGAGAGGAGCTTAACAGGGTCCTGAAGGACTGGCAGCCCAGTGTGCTTCCCGATGGTGAGTGTCCACTGCTTATACTTTTTCTGCTGGTCACATCCTGACATGTTGTGATTGCATTGTAATGTTATATTAGGAAACGGGCTCAACACAACAGTTCTTGAATGTTTTTTGTTCACATAAATAATAAACTATGTAGAATATAATAACACTTTATTCTACAGGCCCCATTTTTTCCCCCAGCTAATTTCCTTGAGACTTTCCTCTGAATTTCATAAAATTTTGCTCATATCTGGCTGTTAATTACTAATACAAAGTGGTGCACTTCCAGTTGTTTATTTTAATAAGTTATTAAAATGCTAATGAGAACTGCTAGGCTAGTGGTTAAGGCGCAGGCCTGGGTTCAAGTCAGGATTGCACGAGGAAGGGCATCCGGCGTTAAACACGTGCCAAATGTCAGCATGCAAGTTGTCAGTGTGACAATTCCCTGTGGCGACCCCTAAACGGGAAAAGCCAAAAGTGACTTTCTTTCTTATTAAAATGCTAATGAGAACTGATTTAACTTTTGATCCAAAAGTAAGTGGCAAGGGTGACAAATATTACTATATCGTCATCTTGGGCACTGAATAGGACGGCTAGGAATTGTTTATTTCCAAGAATGGGTTTTTAAGGATTTGAGTCTCTCTTCAGGTTCTCTATGGGGTCGAGTGGAGGAGCAGAGCCTGTGGAGCAGCCGGCATCTTGGCGAGCAGAGCCCCGCCGCTCTGCTGCGCTCTCTGGTCTACCTGAACACCAAATACTTTGGCCTGCGCACCGTGGAGCAACACCTCCGCCTCTCCTTCGCTAACGTGTACGGCCCTGACATGGTCCATCCTGTCACCAAGGAGACCACTGTCTGCATCCGAGTGCCTTCCATCTCTCAGGATCACCATGGTGAGGCTGCAACATGAACGTCCGTTTTCTGACCTTTCATACACAACCATCGTGGGTAAATGTATGTTGGAGTTTAGAGCTGAAACAATAAAACATCACTGTCCCAAGACTTTTCTTTGTATCCACACTTAAGCAGGTTGACATAATCATTGAGTGTGTCTTATTTGTAGCCTTTCATAACGAGATCAAACTTAAACCGAGTGTTATGTGAGTGTTTGATTCTTGCTCACAATCACATTTAAACTTTTTTTGCGATCCTTCAGTGCAAACAGAGTCTAGGAAGAGGAAGCGTAAATTGGAGGATGTCGATGGCGATCAGGACTATGCACAGGACAATGAGTCAGGAGGCTCCACCTTACACTGTCCTGTGAAGAAGCATGAGTGTCACTTATACGAGCTCTACAGAGCGAAGTGGTGGGTTTCATACCTCTACTGGTGCAGTTGACCCTAGTGAAATGTACAGTATGTTATCTTAGCTAACATCTCCCCAGACTGCTGCTGTATATACTGTGTCAGCGAAGCTTTGTGGTAATTGAACTGAGGGCCTTATCCAGGAGAGCAAATAGAAAGTTTGGTGTCTGTTGTCATCCCTAATTTAATTAACCAGTTGAATTTCTACATTTCTGAGTCCTGTGATTATAACTCATTGCTGTTCACATCCTGAAACCCAGTGTTGACAGATGAAAAATGAGGACTTACCAATACACAGTCTGTTGTCCAGATTCTTTTGATTAGTCAAGGAAATTTAAAACCTTTTCTTCTTCACCTTTTACCTTCACTTCTTACCACTTAATTGATATTTTTTACTCACTTTTGTGTGCCCGTTTCTCCATTTCTCTCCTCACTTCTTTCCTTCCCCCTGTGTTTCTCTTTACCTCATTCTGCACCCCTTTCATCTCCTCACTCCCTCCTTCCCTCCCTCCAGCCCTGCATTGTTACACGAGCGTTTAGATGTCTTCTATGTGCAGCCGGATGCGGCCTGCAGCCCCGATGAGCCACTGTGGTTCAGCTCCACGCCGCTGGAGCGACGGATCCTGGAGAGCCTCCTCACCAGAGTCCTCCTGGTCAGGGACGTTTACACAGACAAACAGCACCTGGAGGAAGATGAGGACGAAGGTGACGGGGGTGAAACGGTTGCGGGAGAGTAGCAGTGACTTGGACTTGGGTTAGTAGAGCCTAAACAGTCAGCGGAGGAGGATGAGGAAGAGGAGATGAGCTAGTGTGAGTGCTCTTCCCGTCTTATCGTCTGGTCCTCCTCATGTGCTCCTTGTTGACTTGTTTCCTCCTGGTGGCGTCCACAACAAGGGGCCTGAAAGTATAGAGGATGGTGAAAATGTTGAAGAGCTGCCCGCATTTATACTTGTGCTGAGGTATTCACAAACTGAGGAGGAAGAAGCAGTGAAGCTAGAGGACAAGAATTTTCCCTCCGGTCATAAAGCAGAAGGGAAGAACTGGCATAAATGTCTTCTGACGTCAGGAACCAGCTGGAATTAGCAGCTGGAGGAGAAAAAGATAAAAGGAGGTTGAGCTGTAATTTGTTCTCATGGTCAAAGTTAAATCAGGTTGAATGTGAGAAGCTAGGATGTGCTGTTGATCACTGCTAACAATTCTGAGGGTGTAATGTTCATTGTGCTCAAGCAAGCAGCTTAAAAATATTTGCATTATTAACAACAATCATACTTTAAGAAAAGTTATGTGGAGGCTACAAGGAGAGAAACACAGGGAGGAAGGGTCAGGATGATATGAGCGCTTTATGTCCTGCTCACCATCACTCTGGATGGAGAGACTGGAGCAGCCACTTAACAGTTGCACAACAGAGGGGAGAAGGCAGGGTAGAGTCTGGACAAACCCACCCAGAGGAGGAGACAGTCGTATGTTCCCAGCTGGTAGGTTGACACTCCATCTTCACATTGTCAATTAAAGGATGTTCTCAGGCCAACGTTAAACTACGGTTCCCAGCTTAGCAGTTAATCGTGTTTGCAACAACTGTTAAGTACTATTTTATAGTTAAATTTTATATTTTAATAGACAAACACTAGTCTGTTGCATCGTTGACAGCACCCATCAGTCATGCGCTTCTGTCCAGTGCTGTGTCATCTATGGAGTTTTCTCATTTCTACTGTTGCATTGGTCAATTAACTTGGTTTTGTGGATTTATGATTTGAAGGTTGTCAGTCAGTTCACAGTCAGAGAGACTTCCAAATTAGAAGTCTCTTTCTTTTGTAAGCCTCAGTCAGCTCAAACTGCACAGAGTGAACAAGGTGACATTACACTCTGTCTTAGAAGTGTTTGCTCTGTTTGTCATTTACGTCCACTGAAGCTTGTTTGACAGACAAATCCAAGTGTGCATTTCCTGTTTTGATGCGACCTCATCCCATGCATTGCCACTCAGCCCCTTTACATTGGGATGATATCACAGAAATACAACTCCTCCTCTAGGCCCCAGAAGTCTTTTACAAATATAAAATCTTCATGAAACAACAGTTAACAATAGAAACTATAGGGCCAGCTTGAGAGATTTTATAAGCTAGAATTTCTGGGTTTCCAATATGAGTTCAACGCAGCCTCTTCCTCAGTCAGGGCAACTGACTATCACACATTTCTCACATTAACTGGACTGATTTCACTCTTCCCATCATCTCACTCACTGCTCTTCCTCTTGTCATGACTGCTCTCAGGCGAAACTGCTGCACCACACAAGACTTCAGCTCATAAAAGCAAGGTTCATCACTGATCCCAGGACAGTAAAAGAGGACTTAACCTTGTGTTATTCCTCTTCAAACACGCGTGATTGCTGTGGTGCAGGGTAAAGGCGACCTACCAACATGCTGCATTTCTTTATGGGACATTAGGGCAACCTTCACTCATGCGATGTAGCATTATGTGCGTACTAAGCCCAGATCGGGTTGCTTTGAAGTGTAAATATCTCTGAAACAAGGGTTGTTGTTTTTTTGAGATGGAGTCGTTTGGAGGAAAGAAAAGCACCCAGTGGAACCTTAAGCTTGAAACCCTTCCACTTGGGAAGCCTCCTTTAGAAAGACTGATTATTTATTTCTCTTTACATTAGTTTGGCAGTGCCCTCTTAATGTTGGCATTTCCCTCTCAACTGTCATTCATTAAACACCTGCTGCAGTCCTGTGCCCCTGCCTCTCCCTCGTCCATTAAATGTCATCACTGCAGCAACCTGTTCAACATGAAGGATGTGGATTTTTCAGAGCCCAACAGACAGTTTTTGAACATTTCCCTTCTGCGTCTGTCCCCGTGTTTTGTATTTTTCTGCCATTTCTCCTTTAATCTTGATATGGTTTAGTTAAAAAACTGGGTGCTTACTAAGTGTCCTGTTTTCTCTTCCAAGCTGTTCTACCACTGCAAAGCAAATGCTTGTAACTAAGAAATGGTTGAACATTTGATTTTTTTTTTTCTTTCATAAACTAAACTCGTTTTCTTTCAGTGTTACTATCGGTTGTTCATTTCCTTTATTTTTTTATGTTAAACCTTGTTGTTTGTTAAATTGTTTTGAGTTTGATTATTTCAATAAATTGGACAAAGTTAAAGCCAAGTCAGAATTATTCATCTAATACGACTACAGCGTAACATTTCAGGAGCAAAGACGGCAGACTTAAAGGGACAACATGGGTCTGAATTTCTGATGCCAGGTCAGTGTCACCCGCCCAATGTCCAAACCTTAAGCGGTAGCTTGATGTGGAAGTTAACATAAACTGACCCTGGATCAGAGGGACTCAGATAACCTGGCTGACTAATACCCGCTGGACTCGGAGGCAGCAGCCAAACCTGCCCCAGGTTTGGACCTCCAGTTGACGCTGTGGCTGGCTGAAACGCCTAATGAGAATGTGCCTAACTGTACATACTGAAAGAGAGTGATTGTGAGCTGAACCTGTTATGTATGTGTGGGCTGATCTGCTGATACGGTCATGTTAAATAAATGATTTCATTTTCTAGACAGACTCTTCTATGGTGCTGTTTTGATTTAGCTGTAGTAAAAACAGTAAGATGGACATTAAGGGGTCAACTCATCACATACGGTAATAAATGATTATATCACTATATATAATGATGATATATGAACTCACCTGCCGTTATTGAGCTATAAGGTTTAATGTACTGAGAGAGAGACCTTAAGCTGCTAACCCAATACAGTGGAGGTGAGTATAGTGATTTTGTTCTCCTCAACACACTGAATGTTTAAGGAGTGTTGAAACCATTTGGTGTCCATCTGTTAATGGGTGAATTTATTTATATATTATGTGGTGACAAGGTGAGAAAAGCACCTGGAAGTGTTGGTGTGGGGCTTTCACACAGTAACTTGGCATGTAAATAGTTTAATAACATTTTAATGCGTTGTATTTGTATGTAACCGACCTATGAAGTTATATTTATAGCCTTAAAGTATCTGGAGGAATAACTAAAGATTTCTACATTCTTATAGGTGCTTTTGTGTCATTTGTTTCATGTATTTGGCATGAGTTTGTGCTAACAAAAGGATACTGTGCACGTGGGTTGAAAAGGGTTCAAAAACTGCTAAACAAAGACAATGCATAGAAATTCAGCAAATATGAACCAAAATCAACCTGGACTTCATCAAGCAGAGAGTTACAATAAAAACCGTTGACAGTGAGGTCTACAGATGATGTCGAGTGAGCAGGACATTGTTCCTCTTAAGACAAAAGCAACTCGGTTTTTTAAAACAAGTTTTTATTTGCATGTGGCTTTGAGTTGACAGAAGAAAACCAGAAGTCAAAGCCTCATAGCATAAAACCAAACCTACCTACAGAGCTACAGTAGCATCAGAGCCAGGAGGAGGAACGTCTGACCTTCTAGTGAACCGACCTTTTCAAAGAGTCAGGGTTATTTACAGTAGGTTGTGCAAACTCTCCAAAAAGACCCACTGTTTATTTATGTGGTGGTTGAATGTCTCGCTCTAAAACCATGGGCATGAATCTTCTGCTTTAACACCCTCTGCTCTTCTGGTTTCAGGCTACCTACCAGATTTTTGAACCTGGTAGCAGGGACTTGCTCCCACCGATCCACCAGAGCATTAGTGATGTTGGTATTCCGGTTCATCCCACAGGTGTTGGATGGAATTGAGGTCAGGGCTCTGTACAGGTCAGCCAAACTTTTCCAAACTGAACTGGAAAAGTCATTTGTTTACTGACCTCTATTTCTGCCTTGGCGGCAGGGTCTTCCCTGAATTGTAATCACAAAGTTGGAAACACATTTTTTATCTAAAATAAAAATTCTTCTTAACAGATTTTACTTACCACCAAATCATTTCTCAAAATGAGACCTTGTTTCAGTAGAGTCACACTTTGATTGCCCACCATTAAATCTATTCAAACATACATGGTAGAAAACCTGCACACTAACAATAAAAAAAAAAACAAAATCATGTTTTGTCTTGGAGCATAATCAGATTTTGCATCTATGGCTCAAAATATTTGTATTGACCTTTTGAAAGAAATTTCCAAGACAAATCACTGACACATTAACTTAGGTTGGTCGACTAATTCTGCTTCATGTCAGAACTTTAGTCGTTCTGGGGTGTAATGATGTAGCTCACTCATGAGTGATGACTAAATTCATCCTTAAAGGGTAAGGTTGCTGCTGCTTTATTTTTATTTTTTTTCTACCGTCTACAGATCTCATGAACAGAACTAATAATCCTCCACCTTGTCTACCCTGCCTGTGGCACTCCACTCCCATTGGTTTCTACTGAAGGTACATCTCGTTCACATATATAGGCAGTTTTCCCTAAGACAGCTGGTGAGTTTAGTTTTCAACAAATGTTGCTCAGACAAGAGTGAACATTACATTTGTTTGGGGCTATTTTCAGCAGCAGATCAGTACACATTTGGTACATGGTGCATATGGGACTGAGTCTAAATACACTACAGTGTGTGTGTTTGTGGTGACAAAACATGTCTGCCAGTGTAGTGGTATGTTTTAATAGTTTTTAGATAACAGTTTTTGGCACAGAGGAGGACGTGTTATGTGGGCAGTTCTTGTTGAGTGTTTCATAGGATTTGAGAATTAAGGAAAATACTGGTTTATCCTGCAGGCTACTGAAGGCAGACATTTTCCACAGGACAAACAAATGAATGGCCAGAGGGCAAGGTGCTTCTGTGTTTGTGTCTGAGTGCTGAAAAGGAGCACTCTCCTGTTTCTCCCAGTGGGGGGCGCTACACATTCACTGTGAACCCCTGCCCATAACTGGCAGTGGATTTCTTAGCACCACCATCAGACATGTTGTTAAACTGTAACATCCATCATCAGCTGCAGGATGAGTTGCTGCTTCGCTGAGCTTTTGTGTCAGGACCTGTGACTGACAAGAGGTTCGTCTGCAGCCGGCTGACATAAGGCGTCCTCCCCTCTCCTCCCATAAATCTGTACACACTTCATCTCATCCTCCCTGCCCTCAGCCTTGCCCACCCAACCTCCACACTGACGAAACATCAACTTTAACCTTGTGGAGGCTTTAAGGAGGAAAAAGAAAAACATCATTGTCCCATTTCACCTCACTTTTTTGAAGAGATTGATAGGTGTAGGTATAAAACATGATGACAAAACCCAATTTTTTGAAGAGGCAAGCTTTTTTCTTTCTGAGCTATCTATCAGAGTTGGATAGACGCCAGTAACTTGTCCCATTTATCTAAAGCTAAAACGTCCCTGTGCGCCCACACAGCCGGGCCTGTGTTGGAGCAGTTTGGGTGTAAAAACATTTTTTCACCCTGGTGGGGTTTTTTGTTTGGGCTCAATCCCCAGCTCTTTCATGGGGCATTAAGAAAGCGCTGTGCTCAGCAGGGTCATGTGGGTGAGGCCCAGGGGGTGGACTATAGGTGGCGATTAGGGCCTCTAATGTGCAATGAATCCTTTTTGAATCACATGATATGAACTTAATGATAAAACAACAGTGACTGGGAGGGGGGAGCTTCTGAGTGTGTGTGTGTGTGGATGCAGTGTACAGCTACACAGAGGACAAGAGGGCAGGAATAGATGACAACTGCATTTCTCAGGTTGTGTGCCTCAACGCATGGTGCACAACTGGCTGAAGAGTTTAGTTGGGACAGCTGGGATTTGGGTTAAAGTGCAGCACCAATATTTCCCACAGTTTCCTTTCTCCCATCCTGGTGGATATAGTTGTTTCTGCTTTTATTTTCTTACATGGTTCTGCAAACTGCACCAAAATGTCCACCAACTCTTGTTTCTAGTATGTTGCAGAAGAAGTTGTGACTTCTTCCAAACTGAGGATGACAATATCTGGATTACATTTGATGGACCGACACAGGACACAGGTGTGACCTTTGGCAAAAGAGTTTCAAAGAATATTTCTTTCATGTTAAAACATTTGATAGTTGTATTGCTTTCTAACTGAAAGATAAACATGAGTCTCAGTAGGTTGAGAGAAGCAATGCAAAACACAGGTGTCGAGCTTAAGTCCATCCATCCATT